GGCGGAGCGGGCGCGGGGGGGGTCGCCATCACAGCGACCGCCGCACGAAGGAGGCCTCGGCGGCGCGGATGAGGCGCACCGCCTCCCGTTGGCCGCCCGCCAGCCCGGCCGCCGCGTGCGTCGCCAGGACCGCGCCGCGCGCGGCCTCCAGCGACAGCCGTCTTCCCCGTCGTTTCGTCGCCGTCGCTGTCGTCGTCTGTCGTGTCGTCGCCGTCCCCGTCGTGTCGTCGCTGCCCTCGTCGCCACGTTTCCCACCCCTTGCGGTGGCCCGGCCCGTACGCCGCGGGTGCCTGGGCGGGTGGGGGGTCCCCTTCGGGGGGCGCATGGCGGATCCACACCCATCCTTCCCACGGCCAGGGGCCCCCGCCCTGGCGTGCGTGGTGGTGTGCGGTCGCCCGAGGGAGTGCCGCCCCTCGGGTGGCTTATCGGGGCGGCACTGGGGGTGTCGTTATCTAAGCCCTGCGGGGCGGACGCAGCTCGAAAACCGCTTAGGCCGTGCGGCTTGTTCCCCCCAGCTGTCTTGCTCTCTGCTGCCTGCCAACTCGTTTGCGTTTTTCCCTCGAGCTTTTCACCACAGGAGCTTGTGGGCGCGCAGCGATGTTGCCAGAGCCCATCCCTCCCATAGAATGTGGGTGTGTGGGACTACATGTGTTTGTGCGATATGTGGGAGTTTTGGCACTGACCAGGTGAAAGGCTTGGCCAAAGAGCGCCCTCCCAAAGGGCCAGGCGAATGGGGCAGGAGAGCTCTTAAGGAGCTCGCGAAGGGGAAGGACCCAACCAGCTAGAAGGTGGTGGGTACCCCCTTTCCCGTCCATCGAGCCCCCTTCTCCACAATCGCGCAGGCTATCTTTCACCCGAGGGATAGACTTGTCCGAGGCTCCAGAGGCTCCAGAGGCGGGGGAGGAGGAGGAGCAGGAGGAGGAGCAGGAGGAAAAGGAGGAGGAGGAGGAGGAGGAGGAGGAGGAGGAGGAGAGAGGAGGAGAAGGAGGGGAGGGAGGAGGAGGGGGGGGGGGGAGGAGGAGGAGGAGGAGGGGGGGAGGAGGAGGAAGGAGGAGGAGGAGGATGAGGAGGAGGAGGAGCAGGAGGAGGAGGAGGAGGAGCAGGAGGAGAAGGAGGAGGAGGAGGAGGAGGAGGAGGGAAGGGGGAGGACCCAGTGGTGGGCGCGCCGCCCTCTCTCAGGTCGCCCTCTCGGCGGGGTCGCGCCGGCGTCGGCCCCAGGGGGCCCCGGGAGGGTCGGAGGTCGGAGGCGGGAGACGGGGCGAGGGCGGCGGAAAAGAGGGGGGTGATGACTAGGGGGGGGGGGATATCATGGCGGGGGCCATGATATTTCCCCAGATCTCATGGCGCCTCTTCTTGTTTCATTACGTCCCTGGCCTCCCCGCTGGGCCGCGCACATGCCGCTGGTCATGATTTGCACCCCCCCCTCTTGGACACCCCCCTCTTGGCCGCTCCAGAGGGGCGAGGGCGGCGGCTCCCACGTCTGGGATTTCTGTCGGGCTTCCACGGGCCTTTCGCAGGCCCAGCTTCAAGTCGGGCGTGTCCCTCCACAGGAGGAATAGATTTAGAAATAGTGCAGGACAGTCAGGGGGCGATGTTTTTAGACCATGTTTGAATATTTTAGGGTATCGTTCGATTCTGTTCCATTTGTTGTCCAGAATCCCTAGCTGCCAGGTTTCGGGGCAGTCGCAGGCCAGGTCGGCAGGCCTTTCGCGAGAAACCGCAACAACACGCAACGGGAAACAACCATGGCTCTGGCAGAATTCTTGGACCTCGGCGTTCGAAGGCCCTCCCGCTCTGCTGGCGGCAGCTTTCGCTGATCTTTCTGCACCGCCACTTCCCGTGGCCAGGTGCTTTTCCCTGGGCCCTTGGGGGGGGGCTTCTAGATTCTTAGGCTTACGCCACACCGCCGACCCCTTGTTTATGCCAATCTGGGGGTAGTAGAAGCTGCGAAGGGGTGAAAAGGCGAGTGATATTTGTTTGGTGTCTGTTCGCCGCCACCGCCAGAGGGTCTCGGGCAGTTCCGCGGGGGGGTCCGAGCGGACGGCGACACCGCGGGCGGTCGTGGTCTCATCTGGGGCCATCTGAGAGGCATAATGGAGCCAGGTTGGGCTCGGGAATGTCTTCGAGCCGTTTCGGTAGCGGTCGGGAGTTTTTTTGGGGGACTGCCCAGGAGTCATGATGGGTCAACTTGGCCATGTGCGAGGCCACGGCGCGTGCAAAGGGTGTGCCGGCATGGGGCCTATGGCAGGCAGTTTGGAACCACTTGGGGGCCCAGGTGGAGGAAAAGGAGGAGGAGGAGAAGGGGGACACGGAGAAACGGCTCTGGGTTATGGGTTATGGGTGAGAGGCTTCTTGTATGTGTATCGGGATCTCGCGGATCGCTTCTCGGGGGCCTCTGGAAGCGAGTTTTGGAGCCACTTGGGGGCCGTTTCGGAGCCTCTGGGGTGCTTCTTGGGGGTTCCTTGGGGCGTCTGGGCGGCCTCGTGAGGGCCTCTGGGGGCCTCTTGGGGCACTCTTGGGGCCCCCTGGGGCTCCTGGGGGCAGAAAGCTAGAGTTTCAACATGTTTGGTCGCCCTCTTGGGCCCCTTGGTGCCGTCTTGGAGCCCTCTTGGGCCGTCTTGGGGACCTCTTGGGCCGTCTTGGGGCCGTCTGGAGGCCGTCTTGGGGGCCTCTTGGGCCATCTTGGGGCTGTCTTTGGGGCCTCTTTGGCCGTCTTGGAGCGTCGGGAAGCCGAAAAGGCGGAAAAAGCAAAAAACATCGAAAAACACTATGGAACATCAACAATTTGTGACTCTTGGGGCCCTCTTGGGAGGCTTGTTTGGGACCTCGGCGGCCGTCTTGGAGACCTCTTGGCCCGTCTTGGGGCCATCTTGGGCGTCTTGGAGCGGTCGTTTGGCGTCTCGGGGCCTTCGTGGGCCGTCTTGGAGGCCTCTTGGGGGCTTCTTGGCCCGTCTTGAGGCCCTTTTGGGCCCGGAAAAGCCCCATGAACCGCTCGTCCCGGCCGTGCTGCGCTCGTCCCGGACCCCCCCCGCTCGTCCCGGACCCCCCCCCCCCTCCAAATCGACCGGACCGGGCTCCCGGGGGAGGGGTTTGGGCAGGGGGAAGCATCTCACACGCCGATGATCCCCAAGGGGTCGGCGGATCCTGGTGAGCTTTTCAACTATACGGATCCTAGGAAGGGTCTCCTCGCTATGTTTACCCTTTGCAAGCAGCTCCAGCCCCGCATAGATATTCTTCCGATCGAGATCCGCCTGGCCATATTTGGTAATGGCCCCTGAGACATCGGAGTGGATACATGTGAGACGCGGGCACATGTGAGCAACGGCCATGGTTAAGTGCTTTGTAGCTGGCGAGGTTGGCGGCAGCAGCTCCCGTCTGTCCCGAGCGGTGCGCTTCACATTCTCCCTCGTCATCGAGCACAGCAACGGCCCATCCAGTCTGGTGCCAGATTGGGGGCCCCGTTTAAAACAACTTCCGTGAACAAAACCTTCCCCAGCCATCGCCACATCAATCGGGTCTCCATTTCGAGACCAAAGATCCTAGGACATTCCAGATCTTTCGGGACGCGTGACGCAGGCTGGGGGCTGAAACGCAAATCCGTGGGCGAGGGGAGCTGCTGGGGGGTGCCCTGCCATCTACGATTCATCCTGGGTGGCTAGGATCTCTTTCACTTTCCAGGTTGAAGATGAGGGGGCATTCGAACCTGTGCGCCATGCCATCTCTCTCGTGTCCACACGGGCACGTCGTGTCAATGTTGTACCCTGCGGCCGCGAGCTTAGTTCTCGTCCAGAAGCGCTGGGTGAGGTAAGTCATCAAGCTGCTCTTTTCGGATGGGGTGAGGCTGGGATCGTTCTGGACTTGCTTTGCAACTGTGACGTCTACTTGGTGCACACTCATCTTGTCAGCCGCGCATTTCTCGAGGTTCGCCTTCCAGGCTTGCTCGAGATGGTACTTGGGAAGCGCCAGCTAAACTACAGTGAGCTGGAGCGCCAGGCCCCCGGAGGTCTCGATCTCAAAGGGGTTCTTGCAGGTCCGCTTGGTTCCCTCGAGGCTGAATAGCGTGGCTTCTATGGGTCCTCTGCATGTCGTTTTCTTGGGGATTCTTCATGATGTTCAGACAGTTGTCGCTAAACTCTCGATGCGTTATCCCACGAACTGTGGCTGCGTCGACAGGCTCTAAACCATTAGTCCATAATACATCACGGGGCCCTTGGCAGATTTCCAAGTCAGGTCTCCCAAGATGCACAGGCTGAGGGATCTGGGCCGCGTTTGGCCTCTTGGTCCCACGCTATTTAGTATATGATTTGGCTTTGCCTGGCCTCGTTATTTGTGAACCAACGACTTCTGTTCCAAAAAGGTTGGCTTAGTCCAAGCCTGTTCTGTACAACTTGCGCATGTCTGCGCCCGCCCTCTTCGGCTCCATCAACGTGCGCTTGCGGAGGCGGAGCTTGGCAAAGCGAGCGCGGAGGGTAGCCCTTCCTCTGCCAGAACGGGTTCTCTCTCCTGCCGTGCAATCGATGCCTAGGTTAGCTGCCGAGTGAGGGGCAGGGGGAGGGGAGCGGGAGGGGGAGGTGGAGGGGGAGGAGGTAGAGGAGGTAGAGGAGAGGGGGGAGGTGGAGGACGAGGGGGAGGAGGAGGGGGATGGGGAGGGGGTGGAAGCTGGACAAGCTGAAGGAGGACACTGTCCCTTCATCTCTACCGATCACGGCCTTTCGGACAGCCTCCCAAAAGCTTCGGGGGAGACCCCGAGGGGGGTGAGGGTCACGCTCGCCCTGCACAGTGAGCAGATGCGACAACGATGGCGTAAGCTTGCACCGGTCAGCTCTTTGGATAGTGCAGCCTCATGGCCCCTCGGCCTTGCGACAGCGGATAGGAAGGACAGGAGGCCGTGGGGGGGAGGAGGAGGAGGGGAAGGGGAGGGAAGGGGAAGAGGAAAAGGAAGCGGAAGAGGGGAGGAATCAGGAGGGGGGGAGGGCCCCGGGGAGTTTAGGGGCCGAGAGGCTGTTCCCGCAGCTCCTAGACCCTGCCACCCTGGCCAACAGCGGGTTCTCCCTCCGCCAGCAGTCCGCCCTGGTGACGCAGTTCGGCGGCGCAGACTTCGACTCCGCTTGCGCGAACCTCGCGTGGTACCTCGATCGCCATACGTGGGACGGGATCAGGAAGGCGGAAAACGGTAACCTTCTCCGCTCGAAGTTTTCATACGTTATTTGGGGTTTCTGAAGACCTTTCCAGACCCCTCGCTTTGTGAAAAAAATGTGACGGGCGGCTTTCCATTATTTTCGACCTCCGGGGCCCTTACCGGGTCTCGGGACCGTCAAGGAACGACTCAGGATGAAAAAACAGTCCCGGGGAAGGGGTCCAGAGCTCTGGGGGTAGAAGGTGTTGAATTATCCGGGGGAACGACCTAACCATATGCATGCAGTTGTGAGTAACGCGTTGTGGGTGCCGTTTTCGGTGGAGCTCCCTATGGGGCCACGAAACGCGGGAGGGACGTGCCGTAATGGGTGGGGGAGACGCATGCGGGCGGTGCCACTGGGGCCTTCGGTGAGGCTCCCTATGGGCAACGAAACGTTGTATCGGGTGTGGCTGATGCATGCGGGCGGTGCCCCCCGCTGGAGCTCCCGATGAGGTCACGAAGCGCTGTATTGCTTGGGGAAAACGCAGGCGGGCGGTGCCGCTAGGGGCTTTTTGTGGAGATCCCTACGGGGCCACGAAACGCTGTACTGGGTGGTGGCCGACTCATGCGGGCGGTGCCACTGGGGCCTTCGGTGGAGCTCCCTATGGGGCCACGAGAGGGGGGGACGCATGCGGGCAGTGCCACCTGGGATCTTTCGGTGGAGCTCCCATATGGGCCCACGAAGCGCTGTACCGGGTGGGGGGTCGCATGCGGGCGGGCCACTGGAGCTACCAACGGGGCCACGAAAAGCTGTACTTGGTGGGGGGGACGCATGCTGACGGTGCCACTGGGGCGCGGTGGAGCTCCAAATCAATGGGGCCGCAAAATGCAGTACTGGATGGTGGACGACGCATGCGGGCGGTGCCACTGGGGTCTTTTTGTGGAGCCCCCTACAGGGCCACGAAACTCTATATTGGGTGGTGGCTGACGAATGCGGTCCCACTGGGACCCTTGGTGGAGTTCCCCATGGGGTCACGAAGCGCTGTACTGGGTGGTAGCTGACGCATGCGGGTGGTGCCACTGGGGGATTCGGTGGAGATCCCTATTAGACCACGAAGCGCTGTCATGGGTGGTGGCTGACGCAAGCGGGTGGTGCCACTGGGGCTTTCGGTGGAGCCCCCGTCATGGGACCACGAAGCGTTGTGCTGGGTGGTGGCTGACGCATGCGGGCGGTGCCACTGGGGCTTTCGGTGGAGCTCACCATAGGCCCACGATACGCTGTACTGGATGGTGCCTGATGCATGCGGGCGGTCCCACTGGGGCCTTCTGTGGAGCTCCCTACGGGATCACAAAACGCTATACTGGGTGGTGGTTGACGCACGCGGGTGGTCCCACTGGGACCTTCGGTGGAGCTCCCTACGGGGCCGCGAAACGCTGTATTGGGTTGTGGCTGACGCGTGCGGGCGGTGCCACTGGGACCTTTGGTGGAGCTCCCTATGGGGCCACGAAGCGCTGTACTGGGTGGTGGCTGAAGCATGCGGGAGGTCCCACTGGACCTTCGGTGGAGCTCTCTATGGGGCCACGAAGCGCTGTGCTGGGTGCTGGCTGAAGCATGCGGGCTGTGCCGCTGGGGCCTTCGGTGGAGCCCCCGTCACGGGACCACGAAACGCTGTGCTGGGTTGTGGCTGACGCACGCGGGCGGTCCCGGTGGGATTGGGGCCACGCAGCGCTATACTGGGTGGTGGCTGACGCATGCGGGTGGTCCCACTGGGGCCTTCGGTGGAGCCCCCTTATGGGGCCACGAAGCGCTGTGCTGGGTGGTGGCTGACGTCCCACTGGGGGCTTCGGTGGAGCCCTTTACGGGGCCACGACGAAACGCTGTGCTGGGTGGTGATTGACGCATGCGGGCGGTCCCAGTGGGATAGGGGCCACGCAGCGCTGTATTGGGTGGTGGCTGACGCATGTGGGTGGTGCCACTGGGGCCTTTCGGTGGAGCCCCCTTTATGGGGCCACGAAGCGCTGTGCTGGGTGGTGGCTGATGCATGCGGGCGGTCCCACTGGGGCCTTCGGTGGAGCCCCCTTTATGGGGCCACGAAGCGCTGTGCTGGGTGGTGGTTGACGCATGCGGGCGGTCCCACTGGGGGATTCGGTGGAGCCCTTTACGGGGCCACGAAACGCTGTGCTGGGTGGTGGTTGACGCATGCGGGCGGTCCCAGTGGGATAGGGGCCACGCAGCGCTGTATTGGGTGGTGGCTGACGCATGTGGGTGGTGCCACTGGGGTCTTTCGGTGGAGCCCCCTTTATGGGGCCACGAAACGCTGTGCTGGGTGGTGGCAGATGCATGCGGGCGGTCCCACTGGGGGCTTCGGTGGAGCTCCCTATGTGGCCACGAAGGGTTGCACTGGGTGGGCGAAACGCAGGGAGGAGAGAGGATGGGGAGGAGGAGGAGGAGGAGGAGGAGGAGGAGGAGGAGGGAGGAAGGAGGCAGGAGGAGAAGAACTCGGGGCGCTGTGTCTTCAAAACGAGGACCCAACACCACAGGATGGTTGGGAAAAAAAACGACGTCGCGGGCTTGGGTCTGGAGAACCCCCGCCTTCTTTTCTCTTTCACCCGCCGCTGCTGCCGATGCTCCTTCTCCTCGTCCCCAGGATATGCTCCTTCCCTGTCTGGAGGAGGTACGGGCTCCATGACTTGCTCCAGAGGCGTGCGCCATTCGAGGGGTGGATCAGGGGACGGAGGAACAGTCGGGAGCAGAGCCGCAGATCGGTGAAAAAATCGGAGGTCAGCGCTGCTGAGCGCAGGAGTGGCGGGGAGCCTCTTGGAGGCCCCTCTTGGAGACCCGGTGCCGCGGAGCCTTCGAGGCCGTCTTCAGGCCCTGTCGGGAGCAGAGCCGCAGCTCGGTGACGATCGGAGGCCCACGCTGCTGAGCCTAGGATCAAGTCGGGCCTGTCCCATTACAGGGGGAAGACTCAAACATACTCCAAACATAGTCTGGAGACGACTTTCAACAAATGCGATTTGTGATTTTTTGTGGAGTATTTTTTGTTGGTATTTTGAATGTTCCGCCCAACATCCGCCTGCAGGGGGACACGCCCGACCCAAGCTTAGGAGCGGGCGGGAGCCTCTTGGGGGCCCCTCTGGGAGAGCCGGCCGCGCGGAGCCTTCGAGGCCTTCTTCTTTCAGGAGGGAAAGAAACACACAGACACAATTAATCGTCGACTCCCAGGAAAATATGGGAAAATATGGGAATTGGGGGGGAAGACAAACCCAGAAAATATCGGAAAATTTGGGGAATCTTTTTATTTGTGTGTATTTATTTGTGTGTCCCAGTTTCCCTTCATTCTTGGGGCCTGCTCGGGGTCCCTCCCCGCGGGCGACGCAGGCCTTCTCGATGCAGCAGCAAGGGGGTCCCTCGAAGTCCCTCTAAGTAGCCTTAAGTTGGGCATGTCCCTCTGCAGGAGGAATACTCATGAGCGTTAAACGTAGTCTGGGGATGATTTTTCGTGCTCTTTTGACCATGTATACATATAACGGCGCACCGGGTCCGGGGGCCCGGGGCCGGGACCTCGACCACAAATGTGGGCTCCGGGGGGCCCGGAAGCTCGCCGGAGGGGGAGGAGGAGGAGGAGGAGGAGGAGGGAGGAAGGAGGCAGGAGGAGAAGAACGCGGGGCGCTGTGTCTTCAAAACGAGGACCCAACACCACAGGATGGTTGGGAAAAAAAACGACGTCGCGGGCTTGGGTCTGGAGAACCCCCGCCCTCTTTTCTCTTTCACCCGCCGCTGCTGCCGATGCTCCTTCTCCTCGTCCCCAGGATATGCTCCTTCCCTGTCTGGAGGAGGTACGGGCTCCATGACTTGCTCCAGAGGCGTGCGCCATTCGAGGGGTGGATCAGGGGACGGAGGAACAGTCGGGAGCAGAGCCGCAGATCGGTGAAAAAATCGGAGGTCAGCGCTGCTGAGCGCAGGAGTGGCGGGGAGCCTCTTGGAGGCCCCTCTTGGAGACCCGGTGCCGCGGAGCCTTCGAGGCCGTCTTCAGGCCCTGTCGGGAGCAGAGCCGCAGCTCGGTGAAGATCGGAGGCCCACGCTGCTGAGCTCAGGATTAAGTCGGGCCTGTCCCATTACAGGGGGGAGACTCAAACATACTCTAAACATTAGTCTGGAGACGACTTTAAAAAAAAATGCGATTTGTGATTTTTTGTGGAGTATTGTTTGTTGGTATTTTGAATGTTTCGCCCAAAATCCGCCTCCAGGGGGACATGCCCGACCTAGGCTTAGGAGCGGGCGGGAGCCTCTTTTGGGGGCCCCTCTGGGAGAGCCGGCCGCGCGGAGCCTTCGAGGCCTTCTTCTTGGGGGCCTGCTTTTGGGGTCCCTCCCCGCGGGCGACGCGGGCCTTCTCGATGCAGCAGCCTCTAAGTATCCTTAAGTTAGGGGGGGGCAGCGATCCGAGGAGGAGAAGGGGGAGGAGGAGGAGGAGGAGGAGGAGGAGGAGGAGGAGGAGGAGGAGGAGGAGGAGGAGGAGGAGGAGGCGGAGGAGGAGGAGGCGGAGGAGGAGGAGGAGGAGGAGGAGGAGGAGGAGGAGCAGGAGCAGGAGCACGAGCAGGAGGAGGGGGTCCCTCTAAGTCCCTCTAAGTAGCCTCAAGTTGGGCACGTCCCTCTGCAGGAGGAATACTCATGAACGTTAAAAAGTAGTCTGGGGATGATGTTTCGTGCTCTTTTGACCATGTTTGATTTTTGTTGGGGGTAGTTTCACATTTCTCCCAATTTCTCTCTGTACGAGGACATGTCAATCTAAAAGTAGCCCCCCCCCGGCTTGGTGCCAGGAGCTTCGCCTCTTTGGTCCCTCTTGCGCGGCTCTGAGGGCGGGGGCCATCGGGGGGGGGGCTTTGGGTCGTCCAGGAGCGATGATGGACCCCTCCTATAGGCTCCCTCGGGCCAGCTTGCCTCTCGGGGGTGTCCTTGGGAGGCTCGGTGGCGACATAGATAGAGCCGTCTTGGGGCTTCACACTGTCAATACGCTGACAGAAAGACCATTTCGGGGGCAGAAAAGGCTCTGGTTTTCAGGCCGTGCCTTAGATCTATGCTTAAGTCGGGCACGTCCCTCTATAGGAGGAATGTTCAAAAATAGTAGAAAATAGTCTAGGGACGATGTTTCGAGTATTTGTTGACCATTAGCGGGTACGTTTGGACTTTTCATGGTTTTGAGGACAGGCCCGACGAAATCTAGGCCAGGGAACCTACTCGAAGCCGACTGCCTGCCCCCCCTGAGCCGGTGCCCTCCCTAACTTCCTATAGCTCCTGGCTTTGGCGATTGACGCTTTATCAGTACCCTAACTTTTTGCATCCAACTCTTCAGGGGCAACGATCGGGGGGGATAGGCACAGGGGGGGATGCATCGACCCCCAATCAATCGCCCATTGATCGCCGATAGGGATCTGATAGCCCCAACCCGCCCAGGAACGTGCGGATTCACCATCGGGGGCCTATCGCCGATCTATCGGCGATGTCTCGCCCATTCGAGGTCGATGTTTCCCCCCTTTATGCCTATCACCCCCTATCGTTGCCCCCCCAACTCTGGACACCGGGGCGAGTGGACCTGGATGAACAAATCCGCATCCCCCGGTCGGATCTCTCGAGCTTCGCGGGGTCGATTCGGGACCAGGGGTGCGGATAAGAGGTCGTTCGCCGATGGTTCCCCCACAGGAAGAACGCGCGCCTGGCGTGCGAGAGAAGATCGCTCCCGACGAAGGAGCTGGTGCTGGGGGAGACCCCGGCAGCGAGGCAGCACCCGTGGCACTTCGCCGTGCTCTGGTTCTTGAAGGCGCCCCGCAGACCCAGACCCCCCTCGGGGCACGTTAAAGAGCGGACGGGACGCTGTTCGCTGTTTCCTGCCTCACCCGACCTCGGGACTCGGAGGTGGATAGACCTCCTACCCTGACACGTCGATTGAGGACTTGGCCGTTCTCGGTTCGCGAGAGGGCGTCGCGGCCGTCATTTTTGTGGGTCCAGGTCCGTCGGTCTCGGTCCCAGGCCGTTTTCATTAAGGGGAGGTTTACTAAAGGGAGGTTTGTCCACCGCCGAGGGACTGTCGAAACACGAGTCGGATGAGCAACGCTGTCCTGGGGAAGGGGTCCAGACCTCGGAGCGTCCTCCTCGCGAAACACTCGTGACGTCGGGGGTCTGGGGACGCAGGCCCCTTGTCGCCGGCGTGGCGCGAGGGAGGGCCGTGCGAGGTGAGGAGGGCCCCCTCAGCCTCAAGTCGGGCCTGCCCCTCTACCCTCTACTGGAGGAATATTCAAGAAAACTCCAAACATAGTCTGGAGACATTATTATTATTTGTTTTTATTTATTTTTTTTAAGAAAAAAGTATTTTTGATTTTTCGCTCCAAATCCCCCTGTAGGGAAACAGGCCCGACGTAGCGGCAGCCTCAATGTGGCCGGAGTGAGCGGGGTCGGCCAGGGTGTTTGGGGTCCGGCTGCATTGCAGTCGGTTTCGTTCGCTCAGCTCGGTTTGGACGGTTGTTGCGTCGGTGCGGCGTTATTGCGATTTGACTGGGTTGCGTGCGGCCTTTGGCCAGTTTCGGTTCGGTAAGAGTGCAAGGGGTTGGAGGATCGGATCGCGCCGTCGACGTATCGGCGATACTGCGCGATCTGGGGCTGTGCGTACGACCCTTCTCTTTTCGTCGCGCACGTGCACCCGACGCCTCGCAGGTACCGATGGCCCCAAAGGCCCCGACACCGTCCCCAGGGGTAGCCTTCCGTCTTGGGATTAATTGATATGGCCCCAGGGCCCGACGAAATTGCCCCTGAAGGCCGAAGTCGTGGAAATACGCACGGATTGTGCATATCGGGTATGGAGAGGAGTGGGGGGAGAGGGTTGGGAGGAGGAGAGGGTTGTTAGGGAGGAGGAGGAGGAGGAGGAGGAGGAGGAGGAGCAGGAGGTGGAGGAGGAGGAGGAGGAGGAGGAGTAGGAAACCCATTTGGCCTCTGGCGGGCCCGCGGATCCCGATCGATCCATCGGGGTCGGTCGCGCCATCCGCCCGATCAATCGCGGTGTCAGTGCGCATCGCGCATCGGCCAGCCCGCGAGGCCGGGCTCACGCGTGCCGCGCGCCATCATCTGCGGCAGGGGGCCATCCGTGCTTCCCTGCTCCCTGCCGCAATCAGCGGCGCCAGCGGCCGAGAAGCGGCCACCCCCGCGGCGGGACGCCGCGACAGGGCCGAGGCGGAGCTCCAGAGGGAGCGGCGCATCGGCGAGAGCGGGACAAGCGCGGCAACGCTCGGTTGCTGCTGAGGCTGTTCCAGGTCAAGGAGACGCCGGCGAACCCCCACTCGGCGCAGCAACACCATCGCAACCATCAGCACCAGCGCAACCAGCAGCTTCAGCGCTACCAGCAGGACAAGATGGCGCAGCAGGGTCGCTGGGCAAGTCCCGTCAATGGCCAGACCGACAGCACGATGACACTGGGACCGCCAGTCGGAGCTCAGCCATGGCCGTGGGGAAGGCCATTTCGCGGAAGATCGTCAGCGACGGTTCCACACTAGGCACGGCCAGCGTAACAATAACAGCCAGAACCCGTACAACACCGAGCAGAATAATTACAACCAGAAGAAAAATACCAGATCTGCATCCAGAAGACGCCACGACCCCAGCGGAAGTAACCAACCAGATACGGCACAGGCGATTCAGATGCAGGACTTCGTCTACACGAAGAAGCAACAGGATATCATCGACGAGTTCATCCCGAGCGCGGAGTTGAGGGCGGCCAATCACGATGCCTTTTTTTTTCCTACCCTCTTCGCGAGACGAAGATCCGCCGCATGTGGAAGCACGCCTTGGCGGCGCGATTCGGACGGCTTGCAGACCAGCTTGCAGGAGCACATCAAACAGGAGTGGACGCAGGTCGCGTCATTTTACGAATACAACCATCGTGTATTTCGCGAATTTCAAACAAGACAGAGTTGGAGAAGGCAGGCCGGGTACAAGTTTCATGCACACTATTACAACAACACCTGCTATTATATGGAAGAGTGGTTCGTGCGTTGGAGGGAGGCGAGTTGAAGAAGCGCGCTTTCATCCCTGGGCCGCACATTTCGGCCGCGGAGAGATTCGTGAAGTAGGTTGGTCGCCCGAGGTTCGAATGGGTTAGTCAAGTAGCCAAACACGCTGCTGTGATCGGAGAGAGTATCCATTGTGAGTCCTTTTGGAGGGCCGGCGTGAGCCGGCATTGCGTGTCCTAGTTGCGTCTGCGCGCTTTTCGGCGTACGACTTGTGAGTGAGTGAGTGAAATCACAAAATGAATGACCAATCTCACCGTCGAGCCGAATGACGGGATCAAGCTTTACAGAGAGACCTGGACGTAGCCCGCAAAGAGGAGAGCAATTGCTAAAACAGTCACAGAGTGGAAAGAGCAAATGGAAAAAGGCCGACGCTGACACAGCCAAGATCAAGGCGCTAGTCGCGGAGGCAGAAAGGTCAGCGAGGTATGCATGAACGGCTAGAAGCACGAGCTCTAGCTGTGAGGGAGACAGAGAAGATACATCGGGCGAAGGCAGGGGCGACAAGAAGACGCGCGAGAGGACGCCACATCCGCGACGACAAGGACAGAGAGCACAGCGCGCCCATGTCGGCGATGGACACGAAGCGACAACGATGATCAAAGAACTAAACGAGCGCGTGGACCTGCAGCAAGAAGAGCACGTTCAACGCCGGCGCCACCTCTATTTCTTTCACAGCGAGCGCATCGCCTACATCCGCAAGGACAAGCAGCGCAGCCAGAAGGACAATGAAGAAATCCATCGCGTGAAACTCGAGTGCAGGGAGCTATAGACGGACGTGGCCTCGAAGACTCTAGACAGCACGACCAAGGCCCTGAAGAGGCAGGAGGAGTACTTCGAACGGCGCAGCTTGAAGCAACGCACAGAGCCGAAGCAAGACATCGAGGCAGCGGAAGTTGCTGCCGCCGAGGCCAAGCGGAAGCAGAACGAAAAACAGTAAATCATCAACCAACATATGGCGGATAATAGACAACGCGATAGGCAGCTCGCGGACATGGCCTGGGAGATGCAGAATGGGTACACGGAGGAGCTCGAGGAGCAACGCGAATTCCACGAAGAGGAACAGGCGCGCTACAAGGCGAAGCTGCAGGAAGAGGCGCAGGCGCCCATCCACTTCGGGGAGACGCAGTCCAAGGTCGCCAGAGAGCACGACGCGAATGAGAAGGCTATACAAGCCAGACGCAAATCGCAGTTTAAGGTCCAACGGGCCCGTCATCCGCAGCGCGATCAGTTGCAGCATGAACAGCGCCAGCTACGGCGACAGATAGTCCATGCAGAAGACCGTCTCAACCGCGAGAGGATCAACGCGCAGGACGCCCAGACCGCAGCGTGGGGGCCAACCCACAAGATGGCAGACTATGAACACGTGCTAGACCATGAGCATGAGCGATCACAATACCAGGCACAAGAGTGGCCGAGAAAGGAGCAAACCACTTGGCAGTAACGGGTACAACAATGGCAGCAATACGTCAACAACGAAGAGCATGCTGCGAAGCGGCACCACGACGAGCACGAAGAGCAGCGCAGAGTTTACCATGCTCGCACACAGGAAGACGCACTACACCATGAAATACGACAGCAACTTCAAGCACATGAGCTCAGGCTGCGGTTTCACCGTGCACTACGTCAACAACAGGCCACCATAGCGAGGGAAAGCGCAGGCCGTGACTACCAGCGTTGAGTTCTCGAACTGGCGCTGCGGCAGGAGCTGATCAACGAGGAAATGGAGGCGGACACCATCGACGAAATGGAGTTCGAGGCCGAAGAAACGCGACGTCAGCATTTGGCAAACATCGAACAGCAGAGAATCGACGAGGAGATGGAGAGCGCGCTGCACTCCATCATGCCGTGCGAGTTCACCCAGCCAGGCTCCGACGCCAGCCCGCGCAGGGAGGAATGGGGAAGACAGGTTGACAGCGAATGCAAGAACGCAGGCGCAACGAGCTGCGCGCCAGACAGCGGCTTCAGCCTCAGTGAGATCGGCTTCGCACCGCGACTACCGGCAGAGCAGGCGCCGCCACTTCCGCCGAATCAGCATATTGCACCCCGGCCCCACCCGCGTCGCACCCAGAAGAATCACCTATCAGCCACGGCACGTCACGGACCAACGACATGCAGAGGGCGCCATTGCCAAACCTCGACCACGACGACGACCTCCGAGACGACATAGACGACGCGGGTGCAATGCTGGCCCCTACGCCACCAGCAAGCCCGACGCCGCCTGCTGTGCAAACAACCCCAGACGTGGACCCAGGGCAACCCATTTTCCCACCAGTACGAGCGAAAAAGGCACCACCCGAGACCAGCGAAGACGACATCCAACCGAATCGCCAGCCCACCACGACCAGATTGATGGGCATCAGCCGAGACGAAGAGAGCGCAGCGCCAGCAACACCACGACAGATGACCATCGACAGCATCGCACCGACAATTCCCTTTGCAGCCCATCGGGCCTCCACCGCGCTTCCACCTCGGCGCGCCCGACAGGGCGCAGTCGGCCCCGCCGACAAGAGCCAAGTCAGCTCACAGAAACAGCAGCTCGCGCGAACGACCAGAGCGCAAGGTGCGCATGCACGACGCAGGAGACGGATTCATTTACCCAACAGATGGACAGCCGATGCCAATCGACAACCACGACGGGTCTGACAACCCAGCGTCGCCAAAAAAACTGTATAGGACTGAGCCCGATGGGGGTCTGCTGGCCCAGACTGGGGGCCCAACTACCATGCCGGCGCGCAGAGCCCGTGGTCGAATCCAGACGTCC